GGGATTATCACCTCCACTGTGCCTGGAGACCCCAATCCTCAGGCAAGGTGGAAAAGACCAATGACACCATCAAAAGACATCTTCGAAAGCTATCTCAGGAAACCAGTCAGGATTGGATAGCTTTACTCCCCCATAGTTCTCCTTCGTACTCGAAATACTCCCATTAAATGTGGTTTAAGCCCTTTTGAAATGTTATATGGGAGACCTTTCCTAACCAACGACCTCTTAATTGATAGAGAAGTCATAGAGTTAACCCAACATGTAACCTCTCTAACTCAATTCCAACAGGCTATTCCACAATTGTCAGAAGCCCAGCCCTGACTAGATCAAAAACCCTTGTTTAACCCAGGGGATGAAGTTCTTATTAAATCTCTTCCTTCTCTTTCTCCAACACTAGATCCAGTGTGGAAAGGACCCTACACCATGATCCTCTCCACTCCCACAGCAGTGAAAGTACCAGAATTCAACTCCTGGGTCCACCACTCTCTAGTCAAGCCATGGGCACCACCAGATCAGAATCCTGAATACTCCAGCCATCCCCAGTGAGACCTAAAACTGGTTCTACTTCGCTCAGATAAAAGCCATTAAGTTACAAATGGTGCTCAACATGGAGCCATGCATGGACCTACAAGACCTGCCCATCTACCATGGACTATTAGGCTGCCCCCTGACTGGCTAGCCGACTGCCGGTTCATACTTCGACCCTCCTCAGCAGGAAGCAGCCAGAGCGGTCTTCAGCAGTTAGGGTTACATCAGAGGGGGGATTGAGATAGAAAAATTATAAGTGTCAGGGATATGGCCAAGGTAGAAGGAATTAGGGCGGAAACCATAACAGAGCCAGGAGAAATAATCTTAATAATTGACTGATAGGTTTAAGTCACAGGACCGCCCCACCCCCTCCCCCAGAATGACAAACTTGGGAGGGGGAGAGGGAGATGGATTTTTCTCAAAGCCTATAACAAAGAAGTCAGAAATTAGGGTTTCACCTCTAGAGCGGGGATTAGGACAGGTTAACATAACATAAGGCAGTCAGGAACTCCCTGATAGAATGAGCAGAAGACAATATTTTCAAAGCCCCAGTCTTGAGATACCATAATCCTATCAGAACAAGACATCAATTATGCTCTGAGGCAACTAGACAGTTTAAAAGGTATAGTTCTGGGCTGGCTGAGTGGTGGGTTGGTTAAGAGCTGGCTTGGGACACCAGCTCTGAGCAGCAGGGCCCCGGTTCGGATCCCACATGAGGGCCAGTGATGCTGCCCTCTATAGCTAAGATGGTGAACAACAGCTCAACCTGGAGCTGGGCTGCCGTGAATCGCCGGCAATGGCGTGGGCTGCAGCCCCTGCTGCAGTGGGTTGCCATGGGCTACCGTGTGTGGCCAGCAGCCAGCGTGAGCGGCCAGCAGCTGGTGTGAACTGCCAAGAGCCGCCGTGAGCAGCAGTCCAGAGGCCGGCGACAGATGTGCCTCACCCGGGGAAGAGCGCAATGATAATACCAGCATGGGCTAGTGAAGCAACGTCCTCCACAACCAGACTGATGAACAACAGGACAGCAACTTGTGTGTTCCCCTCCCGCAATTCCCCAATAAAAAAATCTTAAAAAAAAAAAAAAGGAGTAATTCCCCACCTAACACGGGCATCCCAGTTGGGACCCCCTCTCATTTTGAGAGCTGTAACTTTCTGCTCTAATAAAACTATCCTCTGCTGTACACTTTACCTCTCTGGTCCGTGTCTCCATTCTTCGGCTTCACGAGACTACGATCCTGGCACAAGAAATATCCTACATCACCCTCACCTGTACAGACAGCAGGTACGGGCTCAAATCGTGGAGAAATGGGTTATGTGTGGATGATGGATGGGGATAGGGTGATGGTGGAAAATGTGGGAAAGTAGTAGGGGGGAGAGAAGAAGTGGTTTTGATGAGGCAGGCGAAGAGTTAATAAAAAGTGAGCCCCAGGGGGCTAGCAGAAAGTGATTTCATAAGTACTTTGTTCCACCTGCATGTACTCCTGAAGGACCTCCCAGCCCCAGCCCCTAGAGATAAATTTTTCTGTTGAAACACCCCTAAACAGGAGAGAAGACCCCAACCAGGACTGTCCGTTTTTTGGCGCCTGCGCAGATTGCTGGAGCCTGCCCTTAGCCTGCCCTCCAGTCTCATTATAATACAATTATAA